TGCAAATGCCCCTTTTTATTTAAGAAACTGTACATCAATACCAAACTGATAGCAACATTTGACCTACATCACTCTTGTATGGGTACCTCTGTCCCTTTTGGGCATCCTGTCCAACCCAAGCTCACCGGTCCGATTAGATGCGCAAGTCAGATGTGAAAAAATCTGGAATTCAAACAGTTTCGGACTGTCTATGTTAACCACCATTTGGGGTGAAGTTGCCTGAGGCCCTTGTAATTTGCCCCATCAGAATCAGATAGCCGAACCCTAAGCCCGAACGCACACAATCCCCAAGTGTCATATCCCAACATCTCCAACCCCTAACCCGCTTAAATCCAACATCCATCCCTCAACGTTTTAAGGCCCAACTCCCACTAAACTAGTTTAAGGGTTTAGGGCTTAGGGCGTAGGGTAACCCTAACTCCCTCAACCCAAAATCCCTACACTCAACCCCTATCTACCCCAGTTTCAATTTCATGTTCCATGTGTTTTTCATTGTCTCGCCCTTGCAAAAATCGTTAGACCCTATACCCTAGATCGCGACAAGCCGACTATCAAGCGTTCCGTCATAATTGGACCCTCCTCTTGAGGTGCCAAATTTCAACTTCCGCTTAAGGGGATCCGGTTCATTCTCGGGCATCTAACGTTTTGCCCACTTTGGTGAAGGGACTCTTTAATGTTTTTTCGCCTGCCTCTCAAACAGTTACAGGCTACTGCTTGAGGATCCCATGTGCGGCCCTAGAAGAGTCCAGACCGTCGCCTTAACTCAATGTCCGAGCCGTCAGAACCGAAGAGGGCGCCTATCATGCGTTTTCCGACCCTCCAAAATATTGTGGTGGTAGGGCATAGTTCAAACCAGATGCAAAAAAGGGGTCCGACTGATGGCCAAGGCCATTTTGGCTTTGGCGTATATGGGTGGTTGTCAAAATTATGGTCCCTTTTCGGGTCCTTATTATAATACGGCACCTAATATTTAGGGTACCCAAAAAGGGATCATAATTTTGACAACCACCCATGTATATATATATATACACATATTATCAGAGCCTTTTGCAAGGATTGTGTAGCACTTTTGCGGAGGTGTTTGGGCATCGCATGCGGTGGATGGAGGAGACCTTGCACCAGATCCTCAAAACACTGTAATTATTGGGTTGCTGTTAAGGAACTTAAATTAAGTTACCCTAATGGGTATATATAGTAAATATTAGGGTTTCCCCAATATAGTAACTTAATTTAAGTTCCTTAACAGCAACCCACTTTGGGGCATAAGGTTTCTTCGGTGGTGCAAGATCTCCTCCATCCAGAGTTAGTTGTTCTGTCCAAGGCCCTTAAGACTAGGGCTTGAGGTTGATCTGTTGTACTGGCAGTCCATGAAGCCTCATCAGAATTTTAAAAGGAGGCACTTGACCTCAGGATTTGGAGCTTGGGGTAAAACGTCGCCCTGATAGATTATAAAACCGCCTCAAGAACGCCCAGACGGTAGACTCCTGAAGCTAACATGGAGCCTTAGCTCGTTCCCCTGTCAGAGGACAGTAGTAATGTTTGTAGGGTACCTTTGGGGCTTCTGTAAGGCAAAGCCTCCGAGCCAAAAGCACCTTAAACTCTGCGCTGAGGTATTGCGACTTGATCCTTCTGTTCCGCTGGCCTGAGTGTTTCAACATTTCATGTTCTGTGGGTTTCGCGGGGCTGGGTTGGGGGTTGGACCCTAAGCCCTTCACCTGAACCCTGAATCAGGGGTTTGGGGTGCACTCATGGCATGTTATATCTAGCGCAGGCCGAGTAAAATGATTGGGTCTGGGCTCTTGGGATGAAGAAACAAGGCCGCACGGGGTTTAGGGCCTAGGGTATAAGAGTTTAGGCTTTAGGGTGGGGGTATAGGGGATATATTGGGATAATGGACAAGAAAATGGAAGCTGCCATATAGGGATTCAGGATTTAGGGCTTATACGGCCCAACAGATCCTACTTGCTTTCAACCCAAAATTCCTTGTGATTGTTGCTACGTACCCTTGCACCATGCACTCATGGCCTTTCCCAAAGTCAGGGTGCTGATTTCTAGGAATCCGTATGCTAAGGACAATCGTAACACCATTTTCGGTATATGAGGGGAACCCACGCTGAACCTTAAATCCCAAACCCTAAACTTCGATGTTTGTATTTAAACCTATCCCCTACGCCTTAGGTGGACCCCCCACCCTGTAATAGTGGTATAATAGGAATATGAGAGGACCCTAATATGGTTACTAGTATCCCCTATAGTCACTATTACAGGGTGGGGGGGTCCTCCTAACCTACACCCCTTAAACCCTAAACCTAAACACTCAACCCTGAACCTAAACACTTGACTCTACAGTGGGCCAGAAACAAGTGCGATCTACTTGGCGGCATCGCGGCAGCTGCGGTGGACCGCGCAGAGGCGCGATGTTTTTTGGGTAAGGGTTTAGGGGTTTAGAGGTTTAAGGTTGAGGGTTTAGGGTTTAGGGTTTAAGGTTGAGGGTTTAGGGAGGGGTTTAGAGGTTTAAGGTTTCTGGTTTCAACTCATAGGATTTAGACCCCAGAATACTAGAATCCTGATTAATGGCACCCCCGAAACGGTAGCCCTAATTTTTTCGGAATTGGGAAACCTTAAAACAGGGGGGGGAATTCCAAACCCTAGTCCCCAGATAGCCATTAATAAGAGCCCCCCATAATCTCCTAAATGTTTTGATTCGATATCATATATACCCAGGGTCCCTAAAGGCCACAAATGCTGAGAAGTTCCCATGTAGGAGGTTTAAGCCTTAAACCGCTAGAGTTTCTAAGGTTTGAAGTATGGGCCCCTAATATGGGCCTGGGTCCTTAGGCTTTTTTAGGGGGACTAAGGGTACATACAGGGTATATAACAGGTATTCAAGGATCCCCGGGTCAAGGGCCCATATTAGGGGCCAATGCTTTCAACCTTTGAGAGTTTACTGCCCCGGAAACCCCAGAGGTTCCTTGGCATTAGATTTGGGATTTTTGAGCTGGAGGCCCAAAATCCTGCATGACCTTAGTATACCATCTGCCATAATTCCCAAAGATTCCGAAAGTATACGGTACTTCAGGTCATGCAGGTTTTCCTACCCATCGAAGAAGGGGCATGTTAATATCATGTCTTATCGTGTTTCAGTCTCAAGCTTGAGCAATGTGTGTCCCAATACGCATACTGTTTTGTATAGAAACTCAGCTGAACTGAAACCTTATCTAGGAACATGCCTATGAAATCGATGTACATCCAGCAGTAATTATTTGTCTCCCTCTTTATATTTACACACATTGTCCAACATGCATGCAAACATATGCACATAACCTCGTTTTTCCTGTAAGCATTTTTTGAAAGATCCTGGGCTAAGAAGTTGAGGTTCAGGACTCATCGTTTACGGGCTTCAGGGTGGGTCAATACAGGTTTTCACTGTGAGGCGTCCTACTATATCAGCTTCGCAGAAACTGTTTTTGTGATTAAAAAGTGTCATGCGCATTCTGTCCTTTGAATCGTTCGAACTCTTCAGCAGAGCTACCCACGCCTCACAGACGTCTGAAACATCTTGATCTTCTACGTTGCATCATTTTCATCTCCACCATCTGCATGCATAGTGGACATGTCCCAAACTGGCTCCTGCCCTAACCCCTAAACCTTAAGCCCTAAACCCTAACTCCTGGCCTTTTGGGGGTTGGGCGGGGCCTTATTGTGGAGTATTTCTCCGACATTCCAGGTTTCCATAGGGAGTGCAGCCATGAATCTTTCCTAGGTTTAGGGTTTAGGGGTTGTAGGGTTTAGGGTCTAGGGTGTAGGGGTTTTGGGTTTAAGGTTTAGGGTTTGGGTGTAAGGCTTGGTGGTACGGCATTTGATAGGGTTCATATGACCACTCCTGGGGCAGAGATAGAGTCTTAACAATAGCTGCCATCTCCAAAACTCCAAAACAGTGCGTCAATGCCTCAATGCCTCCTGGTTATTTACCCTACAGCTACTGCGACGGGATTTGAATCTTTATCATTCCTTAAACCCAAACTTATCACGATTACTTCGTAAAGGGCTCATATGCCTGCTAGGTCCCCATAGAAGCCTTACAGAAGCCTCACCCCTGGTAACTGCTCACCTGCAAAACTAAACCCTATTCTTTTAGACTCAGCCAGGCAGCTTTGCAGAAACTGCTGCAGACAGAGTCTCAAGCCCAGGCCCCAGCTCCATGGCATGGAGAACCTGGCGCCTGTGGTTTGGGGTTTTAGGGTTTAGGTTTTAGGTTTTATATAGGGTTTAAGAGTCTTCGTGGTTTGGGGATAGTAAGACACATTATGACAAACTCCCCTAAAAGCTAGACGGAGCGCAAGCTCTAAACCTTAAGCATTCGCCCTCATAAGTTGTGCTCTTGAAGGGGGTTGTATAGGGGAGTATTCTCGGGGCTATGAAGGGGAACACTACGTACCACAAGTTTAGACTATAGCTCACATGGCTTGCTTGTAAATACTTGAAATCTTACAAACCTTCATCAAACTGCACATAAAAAGCCCATCAAAAGCCGTCCGAGTCCCCTAATACGGCTATGCTTAGCCAAATGTGGCTATTTGGTAGTTTCCCAAAATAGGGGACCCCAACACAGACCCCAAAATACTACAATCCTTCAGATAGGGACCCTCATAAATGTCCCCCAGATTGTGGGGAACCCCCAATATCTCTCCACAGGCTCCAGAACGAAATGTTGCTTTGCCAGTGCTAGCGAGAGGTCTGCTGGTCGCTTCAAAAGGCTGAATCCCATGCCTCCAAGGCACTTGCACATAGTCCATGGGTATAGATGCAAGACTTCGAAGTATGCAAGGTCACCCGGCATTCCCCAAAAGCCTTGCGAGTCTCCCGGCCCAAAAGATACAACCCTGTCAACAGGCAAGAACGGGGCTCACCAAACCCAACACCTCAAGCGCAACGACCCCGATCATCCAATCCTGAATCCACCCTGCTAAACCCTAAACCCTAAATTGCGACTTCGGGGCGTGACAGATGGGTCCAGGGCCACGGAGTACCACCACCATCCGGAAGGGATGACCTCGCAATGTCACGCGCCAAAGGCTCCACATCTGAAATCCAGGGCTACAGGGTGTTTAGGGTTTGCATTTGTTTGCCGTTTACTCCCTTCTTAACTTAGACTTCATTTACAGTTGCTTGCAAGCATGCAAACATGTTGGCATCCGCCTGTGATTCAACATCTTGCCGGCCAAGGGGCTAAGGTCTGACCGAGGTACAGCACCGCCACCTTGAGCATGCAAGGAAAAGCCGAGGGCTGGAGAACCAGGAAATTGAGAGCAGGTTCATCCTGCCCCCTCAAGCTTATCATGTTCTCCAGTTCCATCTGATCCGTGGAGCGAGTCTGTGACATCACCGTCGGGACCATTGACAACGCCTAGATACGCCTAGATATGCCTAGTTCTGGATGCAGTGCTCAGCAACTTGCTTGTTGGTCATTCCGGGCAGCATCTACAGTTGCATCAGAGGCCCGCCTTAGATCGCCCCTTCGTCCAGAGACTATTCTCGAGACAGACACTTTCATTACCATCGCAAACTATGAGCTGCGTACTGATATTTCATGATTGTTACTATCATCTTTAATTCCTCAACCAGATCTGGCCTGACAGCGGGCCTCAGCGAAGAGCGGATGGCGCTTGGCGCTTGGGGCGAAGAGGTCGACCTCGAGCCACTATTACAGGACTTAAACATCATTTGAATAGGGCTTGGGGTTTCATTGTGTTAGAATTACCTTAGGATTCTATGGGAGGAATGCTGGCAACTAATTATTCAGGTTTATACATTATCTGGGCAGTTGGGTACAATGGATCAGCACCAAAGGTTCAGGGCATAGGGTTGATCAGGTTTGAGGGTTCAGGTGTAGGGTTGAGGGGAAATCCAAGCATGTCTCCCTGCAAGCCCTGTGCTTTCGACCCAGCTGCGCCGCTGACTCTCGTCGCGAAGCCACTGGTCTCCTGCAGCAACTGTCTCAATGGTCACTGCTTCAAAGCGCTGACCCCTTGCGCCACACTAATATATCTCCTTCTGACCCTCGGACAGCGCCTCTTGAATGGGTCGGAGAGTCACAACACAGTAATTTTCTTGAAGGAAAGTGAGGGCTTGAAACTTACAGTAGATCGCCAGGCGTCACTCAACGCCTCAGCTTGACTGGAAGCATTGCATGTAACAACAAGAACAACGGAGAAGCTAATGGAACAGCAAGACAGTCACCAATGAAACAAAAACTCCCCTTATTGTTGTCCTAATGGCGCAGAACCAGGCAGGTTGCAATCTGACATGAAGAGCTCGCTTTTGAACCCATCGACCTTCGTGGACCCTTGTCCCATCTCCTGCATTGGCCCTCCTGTCTCTTCGTACAGCTTTCGGGACTCGGACGGAGGAAACAGAAAGAACCTTAGAATTAGAATTGTCGCAGCTTTATCAAAGAAATCATGGCGCCTTGCGAATCCATTGTAGTAGGGAACGTAGTACTTATATATATATATACGTACATATCATAACCTTAGAAACCGCAATCAGTCGGGACAAGGTGGGTGCTTAGCAGGCAGCTTAGCAGGCAGCCTCGCATCGCAAGGATGTTCAGGATAACTGGGGGATTCCAAATGAGGGTTATATAGGGTTTAGGATTATGTCCCATAATAAGGGCTATAGTCATAGTACATGGGGTCATATCATGGTCCCCCCTATATAGGGAAACTAGCATCTTCTGGCCGAGCAGCACCCGTCTACCCTCAATTTGATTGAACCAGAGATGAGCGCCGGCGGTCTCAACCTCAGGGATGCATTGCCTTTCTACAGGAGGCAAGGCCACCGGGCAGGCATCTTGGGGTAGAAACCCTTCTATCCACCAAGCACAGCCTTTGTTCCACAAGCCTCGTAACGAGCTGAGCTCAGACATCGCCGGACAAGAAGCAACATGAGCAACAGACCCAAAGCCGAGCAGCATGGAGACGAGTTATGGAGCCTGTGGCTGCAATCGTCACCTTTCGCTGCGATGTCTCGTGGGACGGGCATTGGGTTATACACGTTTTTTTCTCTTTTTTTGTTTTATTTACGGGACTTCGTCTTTGGATGTGCTTTGGGCGCGCCGACCGCAGTCACTTACATGGTCCTTCCAACATGAACTGAAGCCAAAGGCTCCCCTCGCAATTAATTAAGAAGAATTACAAATATCACCAACCCAAGCACAATTCAACAGCTGCGGACCTTGTAAAACCTCGACAGCGTCTCCATGGGATCCTGCGCACAAGGGCGTCAGCCAGCATGATCTTGGACCTTCACCTATCTCTTGCAATCCCCCACAAAAACAATAGAAGCCCAAATGGAGCTCGGCAACGGACCAATCCCAGATCTTGTGTTCGAGGTCTCCAAATGTCTTCGTCGTTGCAGCTACAGTAGGTTTGCCAAAGCTTCCAACAATGTAATTCCTCGAAGCAGGAAGACCCTGCTGCATTTTCCCACCAAAATGGCCTGTGCCGGTGACAGCACCTGATACTGTGTGTGAACTTCCGACTCTTTGTCGTGGTCCTGTAGATCAAAGGCGTGTGTGAAGGCCTGTGCGAGCCTGGGAGCGAGGCAACAATCAACGGTTCTTCAAGCCAGTTTTTGTTCAGGATACAGGAACTTTTAAGGACTCGAGGCGGGGTCTGGCCGTCAGATCAGGATTTCACTCATCTTCTTGAATGTCGGCTCACTGTTTTCAGTAAAGTTTGGAGTGCACTTGAAAAGTGCCAAACGGCTGACTGCACGTACATAGCTGCATCTATGACTTCTCATCTCCTGGCTGTTGTTACACATGCCGTTTGCCAATTCTGTTGCGCAAGCTAGCACATCACAAAAGCTGCTCTGGATCGGCTTTTCCATCCCGAATATCAGCTGTGGAACCGTGGAGTGAGGTCTGGAAGGCCATCAGGGCCCAGCTTTGTCCAGCATTCGTCGAAGAATTTCCTTGCACAAGTCGTCGAGTAAGGCCCAGCATATCTGATGTGAACTGGATGCGTAGCTAACGGCCAACAGTTGCATGCCTTTGACTTTGCTTTCACAGAGCAGAAAGCGACTTCTATGGCACGTGCAGGCTTTCTCTTCAAGCCGCTTAGCCGCGCGCCTCAGAACGCCAAAGAAAGGCGCATAGCCATCCAGAATCAGCCGTGGAAACGCAATGCTCTTGTCCTGACCCGGTGGCAGACATGGCTCTTTATTCTCCAGCGGAGAAATGACTGCGGGAGTCCTGTTCGCACTTCCGATCCATGCGTTGTAGAGTTCGAATAAAATCGACCTTAGGCAGGCTTGCCACTTTGCCTTGCAATTGGTATTGGTAGCAATAGGAATGGCAGATATGACTGATATGATTGCTGCGCTAAAGAGGTCAGTTGGGTGGACAATTCGGGCCTGCTACGTGGATATGTCACAGCCATCTCGCAACCAGCTAATAACTAGCAAATGCTCAAGTGCAAAGGCTCTATCTGTCCAGCAACCTTCGTGTAAGACAGAGACTCATAAGTTGAACCTCTGAAACGCTAAGAGTAGAAAGCGACGTTCGGAAGTCAGAACCCGCCACAAGAAGCGTTGGCCATTTGGACAGGCAGCGAAATCTGCAATGTTGGTGTGGAGCACCAGATGGTCTATCGCCTGGTACGGTAGTGCGCGTATTCGTCACGTGTTTCAAGCTCGAAGACCCTGATTGTCCAGAAGCTTGCCTGAAGATTCGAGTCTAGCTGCTCATGTCTGGCAATACTAGGCAACAAAACAAAATCAAAGCATCAATGGGTACGATGTGAAGAACGGGCTGATCCTGCAGCAGGAAACGTGCTCTTGCATGCCGAGCGCTCTACCCAACCTTCTACTCCCCCTGCATGCTGAATGTCATCTTGGTTTCAATGCCGAGCAGAACAAACTGAACGCTGCTAGCTTGACAACGGCATCCGAGCGACTGCTTCATCACACTCCTTGGTGTGTGAGGGATTGGAAGGGTTTAGAAAGGGCTTTTATGAGCCACCAAGCTGGATGGAGACACTGAAACACCTGCTAGGGTCCTCTGCAGCCAAAACAGTAATATTGGCTATGAAGGCCCATGAAGCTTATCGAGCAGAGCCTTGCCCCTAACCTGCATGACATGGCCTGCGATAGTTGGGTGAAACACATGCCTGGGTCATGTCGGCAACGGGGCCTTTTTCGTATCAGTCTTCCCAAGCATGTGAGCAAGTGAGCCAGTTCTGCAGGTCCGGTCAACTCTAATATTGCCCGCCCATGGGGCCAGAGCTGCAGCACTGGCCGATTCTTTGACGTCAGCGAAACCACCATCCATCCACGCGCGTCCGTCACGATGGCGAACAAAGGTGTGGCAGGCTGCTCCGACTGGAACCCAGCCAGCATGGCGCAGCTTTGGGCCATGGCAGCTATGAAAACGGAATGTCGGGCTTCATCGCAGACCTTGTAGCCAAGGCATCGCTTGGCTTCAACGATGGCGACTGGCCTGCCATCACTATACAGCACGTAATCAGCCTTGCCAGTAAAGGGGGCTGCTTCTGGCAACGCTTGCTCGGGAACAATCTTTAGATTGTGCTTGTGGCAGAAGCGAACAAGGATGACATCCAGCACCATTCGGACTTGTGCCTCATTTCCTTCAAATCCATTTAGATTCAGCGGCCAGGTATCCCTTCCACCGGCTGTCGTAGGAAAAATGCTCAAACACAACTTCAGTTCCTTCACCATGTCTTTCCTCGCGTGGGGAGCGGGGGATGGCCAGGTGGGGAGAGTGTTGTGACTGAGTAAATTGCGCAGGACACCCACCTCTGCTTCCAGCTTCTGCCCCTCATTTGAGCCAGTAGGCCATGGCAGGATCACGAGGAGGTCGCTGGAGGCAAAGCGACACTGGCTGGCATTGCCATATTTCGCTGCAGCTCCGCAAACGTACTCATGCCACAGTATCGTTGTGTCAGTGACATGCGAGGCATTCTCTGTCCTGGCGTGTCAACACTTCACAGCTGAAAGTCGCCACAACTGGAAAGAAGGAAAGACTTCTTACTATTTGTCTGGTGGCACATCTGGCAGCTCATTTGTGTTTGCTTCGGACTCGGCTGTCATGGCCTGGAGTGCATGGATTCCAGCAAGAGGCATTCTAGTGAGGCTGGCTCAGCCCTTCACCAAACAGCAAAAGTCTACATCTGTACTGTCCCAGGGGCTTTGCCAAAGCGATTGCCTGTGCTGAAGCGACTGGCTGGCTCAAAATTTGTACGGCCTCCCACAGCTGCCGACACAGCGTCAAAAGAGTGAGCTGCAGCTAGCTCTGTCATGAAATAACCGATTTCTTGGCGCGTGCCTGGAGCCGTCCCCGCAAACTTGTTGCGCGTGCTATCGTAATAGACGCCGAGAAAACGGGACGTTTTCCCTGGAGGAAGAGGCTCATCCTGCCAGGAATCCTCCTTGAAGTAATCAGATGGCAGCAGGAAGTTTAAAGACTTCAGCTTGCGAGCTCGAGCCACTGGACTGTTCCGCAATGCCTCATCAAAGGCTTGCGCTGCTTGAATCTCAGTATCAAAGCTGCCTAAGCGCAGAGATTTCGCACCAAAGGCGATCTGCGCCCGCCACTTGCCGCCGTCGCGGGATACACCTGTGTAAGCTGATGTTGGTGTCCTTGCTGTCAATCGTGACTTGACGAGCCGAATGAGTTGCTCGGCTGGTTTGGTGCCTGGAAAGTTGGGATGTTGTCCAGGCCCACGCAAGGCGAACGAAGCAGCATCATAAACTGCAGCGGCGGCTTCCTGCGTTTCAAAAACTCCAAGATGTTGCTGCGGGTGTTTGGATGTGGCGCGTATGGCAGCCGCCCACTTTCCAGAGTTGCGGTGCCAGTGTACGCCCACATATGACGATCGCAGAGCTGCATCTGCAAAAGACCGACCTGTATGGGGACCTGTCAGTGCAGCTGCGGAACCCCGGTAGAAAAGGTCTCGCAGCTGCTGCAGCATCGGTGGGATTGCTCGCTTTGTCTGTGTTCCCCCATGTCTCTGCAGCCGATTTGAGAGGGATGCCACATACATGGTGGTCATAGGAAGGCAGCAAAAGGCAGGCAGCACACGCACTGCTTGAGAAAACCGGTCCTAGTCTGTCCGGCAAAGCTTTTAGCCACAAGTTGCCATTTTGAACTGCCAAGTTTCGAAAGCCGGGAATTGCGGCCTGCAGAACCTCAAAAGAGCGGGCCCACAAACTGTCAGCGTGGGGTCATGGGGCTGAGAATGCACGTCACTCGTAGCTGAAATCATGTGTGCAGGTTTCCAACTCGGCATGAGTTGACACTAGCATGGTGTACGCCACGTCTAGTCAGTATAAGGCACAATACCCGGTCTGGCATCGGAACCCAACCTCTAAAGCTTGTCGCTCACAACTACGTCTCACGAGGCCCAGCGGCCAATAGTCGTGCCCGCAATCCCGCTTGAAGAACTCCAGATTCCAGAAGCGTGCATACCAATCTCCTTGGTGTTGCCACTCCATTCATAATGTATTATCAAAACCTAGACAATACATTTAAGCAGGCTGTTAAATACAACATATACAATACCATCTTGCACCATCGTTCTTTTTTGTTCTGTTTATAACATACTCTGATATCATGATGACATTTACAGGGAGGATTTTGCAATGCGCTGCTTCCTCGACATGTCTGCAAAAGCGGGCATCCCTTCCTGTGAACTTGGGTTTTGCCATGAATGGATAGGGTTTAAGGTTAGGGTTGCAAGTGTTCCACCTCTTTGTGCTTGCGCTTTGATGCGGAAAATGGAGGATTCACCTTGGTGGCTTCGGAATGCTTGGGACGACCTACTTGCGGTTGTGAAACCAACCCCACAACGCTTTCGTTTGTTGCGTATGGCGTGTCAGCAACATTATCCGCTCCCACGAGTCTAACCACTCCTCAAAATTACAAAGCTACAAGATTCGGGCTTCCAAACAACTGGCTTCAAACTGAACATGCACTCATGCTTCGCCGTGCTCATACCACTAGAAGACTTTCTCTGACAGACTTCGGCTGATTTCGCAGCACGACATCTAATCTAAGTTTCATAAAGCTAGCTAGATCCAAAAGATGGAAACTTGCTTGAAATTCCAAATGCCCCTATCCTCCCACATTCCATGTCATTGTTCACTTACTTTTCTTTTAATTTTTCGAGTAATCAAGCCAGGATAAGGGCCACCTCGCTTCGCAAATAATTCCCTAAATCCTAAACATTAAATCCTAAACCCTGACCCCTTAACCCTAAACCCTGAGCCCTAAAACTGTTCCATGGGTTCCGGGCTCTGAAAGTGGAGCCGAGCCACGCTGCTTCTCAAGCAGCACCGGAAACTCCACGGCAGAGCCGCTGAGTCCCCGAAGGCGCTGCACCTCTGTGCCTGGACAAACATTACTTAACAGGGGTTTGGTCGGGAATTATATATACATATGCCGTATATATATATACACATGTGTATATATATATATATGGGTATATGTGTATACAGGGTTTAGGGCTTAGGGCTAGTAGGGAATAAGGAAATGTGTCATATAGTAGGGACTATGCAGGGACTTTACTCCCTCTTTCCCTACTATCAACCAGTACAATTTTTGCGCGCGTTCACCACGCTGGGCAAGAAACGGATGAAGTAGATTGGAAGTGCGCAGCTTGACGTCTTTACTGCAGGCTTGGTGGGTGTCTTTAGCTGAAAGCATTGAAGTTCAGGGTTGTGTGCCCATTGAATGAATTCAGAAAAACGAGATGGTCTTCTCAAACATGGAAGATCCAGGCTTGTGCAATCTTGAGTTTTCAGCGGTGGCATAATCAGAACGGTTGACAAGATAAGTGCTGATGTATCAGAATAGCTTTCAAAAGGAGAATCCATGCTGAGAGCTGTGTAATGTTGCTGTCGTATCCTTTTGAGGCGTAACTACCTTCCTCATAATCTACTACAGCGGCCTAATTATATAAGGAATATGGAACCATAATTTGGTAGTTATTTAGGCTCCTATAGTAGTGCCTGGAAATGCGATACATCCGCAAGGTGTGACTCTTCTCAACACACGGCCAGGGTGCACTCTGCCACGCTGGCTAACCGCACATTCCTTCATTCAATGGTGATCTCAAGCAATGTGGGAATTTCCCAAAATTAGGGGTACCTGTTGTGGGGGTCTGCATAATAAGGACTATAGTATATTGGGGTCTATATTTGGGTCCCCCGATTTTGGGAAACTGCCGTGTGGTGAGCTTGCTGACATCCCTCGTCTACAGACCACACCTGCCTTAATTTTTAGATCAAAGCTGTAGGAGCCAGCTGGGAATTGTAAGACCAATATGAACCGCCGGGTAGAGCTGGGACAAGGGCCAGGGGCCCTAGCCTGTGCATGCCTGTGCAGCTAAACTATGAGGCCCGTCAGTGGGCTGTTGCCAGCAATCCGATACGCATGACACGCGAGCTGGTGGAGGGAAGCGAACGGAGACATCATGAAAACTCAAGATGAAGCTATGATATAATATAATACAGTTTGACATAATAAGATGATATATCATAATAGAATAGACATAATATAGAATAGCACAATAGCAAGAAGGGGAACCCTGTCCCCCAGTCCCCCAAACCTCTTCCCACAGGTCCTGTACCAGTCCTCTCGCAGGCTCTGCAAGTGCCGACTGAATGCAGCCTTTGAGGCGTTCAGTCTTCAAGATACCAAGCACAACGAATGGGGTTGCTTGAAGTGTTGACACTTACAAAGCGCATCCTCGGTACGTGACTCAGACTCTGACGAACACTCTCTTATCACGGACGCGCTACGGCACCCACTTGCACGCTGCCTGTTTAGCGCCCTTCAAGGCTTTGCAATACACACGGAGAACCAAAACTGTCATAAACAAGGGCGCCGTCAAGCCTGATAGTGTCTTTTCCAGCTTGACTTGCGCAGCTTCCAAGGTCAAGAAGAAGCCCAGGCAAGAGGCATACTCGATTGTCGGCTCGTCAATCTTCTGCTTGGCGAGCTCAAGCCTTTGGCGATTGGTCGGTCTACATGTTTACAAGGTGGGTTTTCGCCAAGTCTGTGCTAGCTTCCGCTCCCTGCTGTAGGGGCCTAGGCCTAATAGTTAGTTGCCAGTAGGCCCCTACAGTAAGCAGATTCGGCCTCACCCGCGAGAGGAGAGAACAGGTCTCGGTGCCCGGTCTCGATGTCTCTCGCCTTGAGCAGGCTTTGGGACTCACTGTTGGGGTGCGGCTGAGGCTTTGGACTATACGACTCACGGCTCCTTTGCAGCTAGTGTAGACACATCTCTCCATGTTCCCGTGTATACAAAGCCACCCACATGCTAGCGAATGCAATCATCCTTCTGCTGATAGACTGTGATAGGATGCTTCAGGGACGCCACGCAGACACAGCAGCGTTCTTCAGCAACTTCCCATTGCCAATGATACAGCCAGGTCACGGTTTTTTCTGACCTGGATGTGCAAAGATTGCCAGGATGTATGAGGCTTGGGGGGGGCAGGCATGCCTGTGCAGGTGCGCACGAATGTGATGTGATAGGAAAGATGCCACAAAATTATCCCTCGAGCAAAGGCAAAACAAACAACATACGCACAGCAGCCGCTTCGTATGATATAACAATGTCGGGCGTGAGTTTCTCAAAGCCACACCAGGTTTCAGAAATGACTCTTGAAGCGCACCGTCTCACCTTGTCTCACTCCCTGGCAAATCCAGGCCCCTAGCCCCTTAACACTATCTGAGCAACAGCCTAAACTCCTTAAAGGGGGTTATATATAGGGGAGTAGTAGCGGGGTTAGAAAGGAGGATGCTGGAGCTTAGGCTATATATAGCTCATCTGAGTGTCGGGCCATTGCTACCGAAGTAGGCTTCCAGATCTGCCTCTGACCAGAATGCTGCCTCTTCGGGGACCTGCACAGCACAAGAGTGGGTTGAGGTCAGACTAACTGGTCACGCGGATCGTTTCGACCGGTTGAAACGTGTCAAGTCACTTCAGGCATCTCTGGCTCGACAAAAGCTGCCGGTTTAGCAACCGATCTGCTCCGACCGCTGGCCGCGTCTCTGACCCTAGCTAAAAGAAGGCAATTCCTTTTTGCAGAGTTGTCAGTGCTGCCGGAAAAGAACCTGTTGTCCGGAACCCTTCAGATGTATGCACAGCGTACTTTGGCCCTGATGCCACCCCTATGGTTCTTGAGTCGTACAGGGCTATGGAGGTCAGATGCAGGGCGAGCCTTCCCAGAGAAGCCTGGGAAACGCCGCTTGATGGAGAAGATCTGGTCACGCTCCAAGGGCAGCGCGAGGAGGTTCATGATCCTGAGCTCTGACAGAAAACGTGATCGAAGGAGTTGTTTAAAGGGCCTGATTGACATGCGAGTCGAGGTTCTTGAGCCGTATGTCCGCAGCTTCATAGGTTGGATATCGGAGTTTCAAGATCGTTTTCTATCAGGCAACGGGTAAGGTCTTTCATGGTTGCCAGCCTGGGTCATTCAGGGTAGAACCATGGCTTCTTTGGGCCTTGTAGAAGTGCGAAGGGTTCCGCGGGGCAAGATCGGCCTCGTCACTGTTACGGGCAATCAAGGAAACGTCCATGGATTCAGGCGTCCCCCAAAAACGCATGCGGCCACAGAAAAAGGTCCGTAGATCAGGGTCAGAGATTGCGGCTAAGGCACTGGGTTGGCCCCTAGAACCCTTTGAAAAATATCAGTATATAGGGTCCCCTTATTAAAGCCATCAGGGAAAATATTAAATATCCCAGGGGCCTACCCAGGGCATTGACACAGAAACGCGGCTATCTTTCATGGAACCGTGACCCTGGAGCGCTACTACAGCTGATGACCCACAAATGCCGCATTGTGCACCGGATACGCTCTGTTCAGCAGATGCTCCGAGCAGAGAAGCCAGCCACAGCAAGCAAACAAAAACTGAGGTGCTTCTAGGGAAGTTGACCTGTGGTAGCTAGCTCTAGCTAACTCTTATTTTCTCAACAGCACCCCACGAAATATGATCTTGAATCCCACTCCCAGCATCTGCTGAGCTCAGCGTCCCATTGTTGCTGCGCACTTAGCACCCATGCTAGTTGCAACAAGTAAGGGATTGGCTATGTCTTCGTGCTATGGGCGTCTGCTTTTTGGTGTTCGCCACTGAAAAGTTGGAGTGAGCATCATGTGGGTGGATGACTCTGTGAAGCCTGTGGCGCGAACCGACTATATGTTTTCATGTGGGTTAGAGCAGCTGGCTGGTTGGGGCTAATTACAGTGTTGTTTCAGGTAGGCACTGCTTGAGGTCAGCAGGTGTTGGGCGACATGTACCCTTTCTGGATGCATTCTGCCTCTCCAAATTTGGCCAAAAGCTGCAAGGATACATTGAGCCACGCAACCGCGGTGTCCGCAACCAACCATCTGTGCAACACAATGATCTTCACATTCTGTGCCCAGTGCCCTCGAGTTTCAGCCCTAAACACCCCTGAAGCACTCCTACTAAGAATGTCACAATTCATTTGCCTGCGATGTAACCTAACGCCCTTCCTGTGAAGATCCCCTGTCTTGTGCCGAATGCTGAAGTTTTCTTGGGCAGGGTGAACATCGCAAAACAAAGCGTGGCGCAAGACATACCTATGAACCTTTAGCATCCGTGGCTGGTGAATGTTGAGCTTAGGATTCAGGACTCGTGCTGTTCCCCTACTGCCCCAGACCCAGTAAGCACGCAACAGCAGTACCACGTTGAAGCTTGCAAAGCTTGATGTCATGAAAACATGCCGTTGGCCTCACGCTCTTTCTCTCCTCTTGTTGTCGCTCCTGGCATGCGTTTGCGCCAGAGTCCATGCCAAGCATAAACGGGGAGGGATAGGAGAGAACCGCCAGCATGTCTAGTCAACCTCAAGTCTGCGACTCTGACCATCCAGAGTTGTCTACTTGATGGGTGACATCTCCCATGGTTTCAGCCTGCTTCAACTCAGTATGCGTCAGCGCAGCTTCCTCTTGCTCATGGTTTTGGGGCATCACACTTTGTTGCTGTCTTTCATGTTTATGACCTGTCCACATTCAGTCTCCTCTGGTATCTCTGAGGGTTGCAGCACTTCAGACGGCAATATGAGACCTGGACCTGAAAAGCATACCGACTCAAAGGCCTTGCTATCGACAATGTATTAAGCATGAGCGACGCAAGAGGATGATGTAAGAACCCATCATGCAGCAGTCAATGCCACAATGCTTTACAGCTTAGGATGTTACACGGCAAGCTTCTGTTGCGGCATGTCTAGGCATATACGGTATTGCAACTCAAATCGTCCTCGTATTCGCGCTCCCACTGCGCGCGCTCGGCGTTGTCTCAGTGTACGGGAGTGCTGGCTGAATGCGTGTATGCGTCAGAACAGTTTTGCAACAGCTTTGAACGCTCTTGTGTGCAACTGGGTCAGGTTAAATTCTCGAACTGTAGCACAGCATCTTGCCAAAGGGCCAGAAAGCTTGAATCCGCGCTTCGCGGGGCACTGTGGTCTTGTAATGATCTGTCTTCACAGGTCTCGCCCAACTTGACACGGGTCATCGTGTGCAAATGGGCTATGGGCGTGCTGTGTGGCTAGACTGGCTAGACCTGTAAGCAACTTTCAAATCCCTAGCACTGTCAAACTCTCAGCGCCAATCTACTTGACTGCTAAACTGCCCAGCAGGGCCCCGAGTTGCCGGCATTCCTCCAAAATCCTGGCAGATGGTGCTGGAGCTGAGTCCAACAGGATACAAACCATAGCGGCATCAGCATGGCCAAAGCGATTCTTCATATTCAGCACGCTGAAATGCGATAACCAAAGGTCATGAGCAAAACGCACCTCAAAGAAACGTGCTGTAGATCAACTAAATTCCCCTCGCCCCGCGCCCAAATAATGACACTCTCCGCCCCAATATTGTACCATCATAAAGACGGGGAATAATTTTCACTAGGGGTGTGCGGGGGCTTATCAAGTACGACTCGGCTTACTCGCCGCAGGCTAACTATTATTAGACGGGTGCGGGGGCTTATCAAGCACGATACGGCTTACTCGCCGCAGGCTGCAAACGCTCGGTCGCAGGACTGGGACGCAATCACACTTCTCAGGAATATTTTTGAGGGTTACCTAGGGATTGTATTCTCTTGTTCCCTACAAGCCATACCCTTGCAAGGAAGAAAAGATTAGGCTGATGGCAGCAAACTACCATCAATGGACTGGTTTTTGGGCTGAACAAAGCAAGCTTCCGTTCTCCTTAAAAAGTGCCAGCCAGGATCAGAAGGATAATGTTATCTTACTCCAAACCTTTGGGCTGTCGCATGCCTGCTCAAAATGCTACTCCAAAAACAAAGAGCTTGCCCTGCCTCTTCTCCTGAAGAAGCTCCTTCCAGGAGGCCCACACCATGCCTGGTCTGTCAGAACCGCTGCACCATGCGTATGCAATGCTGGCCTATGTCACAAAAGGCCCCATCATACATCGAAGCGCGAACTGCTGGACCCTGCGCGCCGCAACCTGCGACCCTTCACTAGTCTTCTGACGCCGCAAGTTCCCAAGAAGTTCAGGCGGACTCACTGGAACGTGCCAAGTGAATCGAGAGGAGTACTTGCCTGTAGCTACCACAAACTAAGGGTTGTGCCGAGGACAACGTACTGGTTCGCCTGCCAGGCAAAGCTTGGGGCCTTCCTGGCAAACCATGTAGCAGCTAATGCGGAATTAGAGCTTCCCTGATCTCAAGCGCTTCCAGGCATTGCCCAAAAGGTGGGGACATCTCAATTTAGAGGCATCAAAGCAAGGAGATAAGGTGTTCGAAAATATTCCTCTTGGGCGCTAGCTGCACCGTGGCTAGCCCACAATCAAGCAGCAAGCTTGAGAAATTACATCCTGGGTTGGCGGATATCACCTACCCAGGATCCTCCTAACCGACAGCTGTCTTCAAGAATGAGCTGCAACTGAAAGTGCAGTTTTGGTGGTGACGCTCCATCCTGTCATTATCATGGAGCTAATAACTGCGCCCGAGAAAACAAGAAGAATCCCAGCCGCCTGATTTTCTGCAAAGCCAAGTACGCTGATCCGAAGTTTGGATTGCCGTGCCCGCTGATCCTCCCAGAAACTTGTGGTCCAAGGTGGATCCGCGATACTCCCAAACAGACGGATGCATGTTACAAGGCGCACCCCTCAACAAGGGGCTCGCATGTTTCAAACTTCAAACGCACCCCCGCGAGTTGTATCCCCATGCTTGATTGAGGCACTTCTGCTACTAAAATGCAACCTGGCGAGAAAGCTGTCAAGGATGTGGTTCTGTTGGAAGATATGTGTGCGAGGGGTCTTGCTTCAGTTAGCCGCATTTGTTGAGAATTGTACTGCGGCAGCCCAAGCCGGGGGGAGATAAGCCAGGGAAACCCTCCTACGCTTCTGAGAAGTGTTGGCTGTGTTTCGTTAGCTCTCTTGAAATGTACCATCTGATTGCTGAAATCTCTGTGGTATCAAACTTGTTCAGGCGGCAAAAAATCCTGCTGCAGAGGTGCAAGCCCGCAGCTTGCCCGTTATAAGATAGAAGAATGAAATCGTTTCCCGCAAGCACTGTGCCCACTGCACGCTAAGAATGAGACTCCCCATGGTCCCCAGACCATACCAACATACACTGATTTCTGGTGAGGTGGAAGTCGTCCTCCATCTCCTTCTTCAGCTCTTCCTGCTGGAGATACTTGGTGCTGAAGAAGCATATCGCAGCAACACATGATCCCAACTAAATTCAAGAAGCCTGTGGAGCTGCTAGCTTCGACCAGCAAGCAAGTCATTCCCATCCGAACCCTTGGAAAGTATGCAGCTGACGTGGATTGAAGTTTCCGCTTGGGGTAACTTTCTGATACCATAGCACTCCTAACAAGAGGACTACAAGTGGCAAAGCCACAGTAACCCTGGTCGTTCTTTTTTTGAGGTGAAGGCCGAACGGGCTCCCTTCTACAGTTTGAATGTCCAGCCGTCCCTACAAAATGTGACCCACACTTGCGAAAACTTTCCAAGCATAAGCTCCCAAAGAAGGGGGGGATTAAAAGGTGTATCTCAAATATCAGAACTCTGCGTAAAGGGTTGCGCAGAAATGGACAGCCGCCTGCTCCTTCTGCAGTCTCTCCTGTGCAGCAGGCAGTTGGAAAGAAGATCGCATCTTTCCTGTTACGGGTTCATGTCGGTATAAATATTAAAGTGGTTCGGAATGAAGCGAACTGTCGGCCTAAAGGGTATGGAACACAGCGAACTCTGGTTCCGTCCGGGATGCTAACAAGGCAGAAGCGGAATAATGGCATGAAACCCAAAAGTCCTGCCTTTTG